CACTGGCAGTGACCCTAAGATATTTGCGATTTAAAGCTCTGAGTGGCACTGCAACTGTTATGGATAGCCATGTCACTTATCACCAGGTACACGACTTGTTCGCAAAAAAAACCCAGTTCTTTTATGCCTTTAGCGTCCAGTTTCACGACGCGAAAGTTTTCATGAGGTCGCCGCGCGGCAACCGCGCTGCTACCGCTCAGCTGCCGCGCTTTCACGTACATTAATGGTGAATCCGAATCATGTTTACTAGGCAACAACATTTAAACTCCTTGGAATAATACACCCGTGCGATAGCCGCGCGGAAGGCGCGTAGACCAAAGACAAGACATCATCGCCCACGCGCCCGATACGCTCATTTAAGTTAAAACGTAATAACTAAATATATAGAGCGTATTTTGCTAGTGCTAATGAGCAATCTTGCGTATGATTTTAATAAGCAAATGAGAGCAGGCGCTCGCTAGCGCCGCCTGCGCCGCCTGCGCCTGAAGTCATAGATGCTGATTGACCGGACTGTCAAGACTTTGGTCCGCGCAGGGTCCGTCGAGTCACCGCCACGGAATCTCATGATAAACCACGAACTGGTTCGAAACATGTCGAGCAAAAATTCGACTTAAATATCGTTATCCGTTAGTTTAATAAATATGCCTGAGTCTATTTAATAAATCTATTTAAGATTGAAACAGGTCATTGAATTACAGATCTAAATACACAACCTTACGTAAATTATAAAATAACAACCTTCGTCCTTCTTTGTGAAACTATATAAATAAAACTAAACGTCTGTCTTGTTTAATCTAAGAAGAATATTTTTAGACGAACCTAGTTATAAGGGTTTGTTTGACAAGGAGATATGATTTTTGTTTGACGAATTGACGTAGGATAATAAAATTATTTAGTAAAATATAGTAAGTATACCATTAGAAGGAAATTTGAAATCAAACTGAAGGGAGTATTGAAAAAATTAGACATTGTGGGCTGCTTTGAAGATTTAGTTCGCCCTGCCCTGTTTTCATTAGCTGCTTCACTAATGAAAACAGGGCGAACTAAATCTTTAAGCCGCAACAACAGTCTCAGAATTAAAAATTCTTAGGTACGTGTAGACGATCCTATCGATGATGAAATTGAACTTAAGCTTAATATTACATTTGATAAAATTAAAGCATTGCTTCTTGTAGGCAATCCTGGAACAAAAGAGAATCGTGAGTTTCACTAATGCTTAGATTAGAAATTGGATTTGTCTATTATTAATACGCCTGATGTTGAAAATGTAGTACTTGGTCATAATACTGGAGCTATACTCGTAGGTGTAGATATATTTTAAGAATAATTTTAATAAAACTTTTTGGTGGGAAATTTTGAAAGTTCAAAGTAATATACACAACTATTTTTGTTTTACTACAATCAAGTATAACAGCAACTAGTAGGTCTTGAAAAAAATGGACGAAAGAAAGGCTTATGGTAAAATTATCGACGATTTCAGTAAGAAACTTAGTTCCTACTATGAGAGTGGTAAAATCAAATATTGGTACCCTATGTTCTCTAAGAGAAATAATAAAGGAATTGATATCGATTGGGTTGCAGTGAACGATAAATTGTTCTTGAAGAATACTCCTAATAAAGTGTTGTATAATAGATGGATTATGGCCGATAGTGGTTTTATTACAGCTTTAGTGTATTCTGCGGATGGGCAGTATCTTATTATCGGTCATTCGACAGGACTTGTTCAGGTATTTGTTTATGTTTTCAAAATCAATTCCAGATTTGCTGTAATCAAATTTATTTTATGACTTCTGTTATTGTACACGCATCAAATAGTTATTTTTGATACAAGTGCGGAAAGTTAGTCATTATTCACGAGTTCACGAGTCTTGAGGCTTCTTGGCCCGAGCCAAAGGCGAAGGTCAAGACTCGAGACAAGTGAAAATGACAAATCCGCACGTGTATCAAACGACGTTTTTTAATACATTTGCGAAAAAACTACATTGAAAGTAAAATAAAACAGTAGGTATTTAAAAAAAAACTCATTTTATTTCTTTGTCTGATACAAATTCAAGGTCGTATTCCAGAACTCTACTCAACACTCAAGTCAGGACTTGAGCATTGAGTAGAGTTCTAGAATACTACCCTCAGAGTACAATGGCAAGTGTTGCCAGTAATCAGTCACATTAAAATTACTATTTTGGTGGCGCGGCGCGCAGCGGTTTCGCTTAATACTCACCTCCGGTCACTGTTAATACTCAATCAGCCATCTTTATGAAAAATATTTTGGTAATTTTAAATGTAACCCGTTGTTTTATAAAACACCTGTGCAATTTAAACAAATAAGATGTTTGTAAATAAAAGTTTTAATAAGGAAATGACTTACGTCACAAAGCACATAAACTAAATATACAACCTCTTTAGTTCTATGTTTAAGACTTGAAACAACAGTAAATTAAAAAAAAATGGAAAAGTAAAAAGCTCTAGTGCGAAAAATCCAACTTTCGACACGATTTGTGTAATACCACGTTATATTTGTTTATGATATCAAGTGACAGGACGAAAAAGTCGTGTGCCTGGTGGTAAGCGACACGCCCGCCCCAGTCTATAGCGGTTGAAGAGCTTTAAATTGCAAAGATTTGACACTGCCGCCGCGCCCGTCACTCTGGACATAAGTTGACAATTCCCGTGTGCCTGTAATTTCATCAAGTATCCAGGGATTAAACACGTTTTTTGCTAATTACTGAAAATCTGGTTTTTAATTTTTTTTTAAACCAATGGTTTTTTTTGGTCAATTTCACTTTCAAATTCCAATTATAAAATTGACCAGAAAAAGCCTTCATGCTTCATCACAGGACACTTGCCACTTTTTGCTGTGTGTATTTGTTCAGCGCTATGCAAATAATTATAATAAAAAGTAGGTACGCTTAGTGCACTCAATACTTTGACCATAGTTTTGTTCGTTTTCGTTAGTTTTCCTCCAGAAACTAGGAGATTTTGTTACAGCTTTTTGTCGTTTGTCGTGTAGGGGTGACCCTGATTGTATTTATATCGTTCTCTAAATTCACTGAAGAAAAATACTAAATTGTGATGTTTACTTGTTTGAATATTTCATCATCTTATTTTTTAACCTAATTATTATATAACCTTATCATACAACCTTATTTTTTATTTCAGATGCGACATGGCCAGATTGGAACGGTGATGGCGACTCTACGTAACATTCAGTTTCCCCCTAAACCTGTGTACGCTTTAGAGTACAGTCGTACTGATAAAAACGTCTGCTATGCTGCATGCACTGACGGGGCCGTGTACAAGCTTGATATACCTGATGTTAAACATGTAGGTTCTTTTACCTATATAAGTAAAAAACCGGATAAGTAATGTTTCTGTCGATTTCTCACAATCCGACAAACAGAAGTAGTTCCCTGTACCACTTGTATTCTCCTCTTGGACCGCAAAATAGCTAACATTTTTATCAACATTTGAGTTATGTACAGATTCGGGATCAGTAATTAAAGGTCTATACCTAGTTTTTTGTAGAAGTCTTATCTCTATAATTCTTGGATATACAACAAGCTGAAAAATGGCAACTGACAGCGAAAAACCATATTTGTTAAAACACTGATATCAAATGATTTTAGCTAGTTCTGAAGTGTATACTTACAATGTACACATTACTATAATTACTTCATAAACAACACAGAACAGTACACCTGACTATAATTTTGCTCTTAAGTTATTTATTTATTTTATTTTTATTGTAATGATACAAATTATTTTCAAATTATTTTTAATTTATATATTCTAAAATTGAAAATATAAAATTATTTTTAGCATTATTTTCAAACAATATTATTTTAAAAAGAAACATCTGTAAATCTGCATTCTCTCTCTTATGAATCTTATGAACAAAAAACAATCATAAAAAATAAAATAAGATAACATTATAGAAGAATTTTAAAATAGAAGGTCTTAAAATAGATCGAATGAGCCTTATATAAGACGGACTTTTTGAATGCGGGAATGCTTTCGCGGAATATATCATGGTTACAGCAAATATCACTATATGATCTACACGTTCGGTAAGTTGGACTATTTGCAGAAAAAATGTTACTTACGAAGCTTGATTAGCAAATAATTAAGGTAGGCGAACTGGACGAGTTGGCACCCTTATGTAGATCTTATCCAGTAACATGTCACTAAATCCACCAATTTTTTTTTTTTTTTTTACCAATGTACATAAGTCACTGGTAACTCGACGGCGGGCAAGGGTTTCTACATTAAACTTATTAAGTTTGTTTTTGTTGTATAAGTCGAAGTTCCAGTAATAATATTCTTTACTTTCTGGTAAGCTAAACTAGAAAATTAAGTTTTTTTTAATGGTAAGTAAAATACATCATCATACAATGAAATTATGTATATATGTCTTATGTATATTTGAAAAGTATAAACCACTTAATATTTATAATATACTTATTACTATTGTTGTTATCAGACAAACCTAGAATTTTTTAAGCACATTTATGAAATCTCCGAATTTAAAATTTGCAGCGTGTGCCTGTTACTTCAGAGAGCAATATCATGAAATAAATAAAAATTAATGCAAAGTGCTTTCCATTTCAGTTGATACAATAGATATACATAGTACCTATATACATAGTACCTATATCTATGGTTGACAACGGAATCATTCTTTGATTCACTAATTCAAAATCCTTGTAACTTAAATATTTATTTCCAGATGAACGTAAATGGTCAAGATACTCCAAAATATTGCATCAGAGCCGATCCAGCCCTAGAATGTCTTAATACTCAATACTATGGAAACCCATCCGCCTCTGGCAACTCTTCACCGTTCATCACACGTAACGTTGTTTTTGTGTTACGAGTGAAATGAGAGCATAAATAAGGTTTTTTGTTCATGTAATTTTGCGACTATTTGGATGAGTGAGCAGATGAGTTGCGTAATTTGTGGCATGTAGAGTCAACTCTCCAGCAGGAGTCCCTTCAATTGTAGCTATATTTTCAAATTAGTTTATGACGTTCGAGAGCCTGTCGCCTCTATAAGACGTTTCATTGAGTCAGGGATAGTCAGTTGCGCTACCAGCAGGTTAAGGTGGTGATACAGACGCTTTTTGTATTTAATAGCGTAAGATCGAATTTCGTCCTTTATTGTGTTCATGTTTAGGTAGCTGCTGGACTTTTGAAATAACCAAGGCGTATGAGAAATTTGCTTGAAAATGGAATCTGCATTGGTTTGTATTAGTGCGGTATTTGAATTGCATGTAGTACCCTAAAGTTGAATGTCGTAAATCAATATAGGTTTGAGGGCAATCTTTTAAATGAGGAGCTTTTTGTCAAGAGACAGCAAACTGTTACTTTTAAACATCCAGTATAGTCCACGAAATCGGATGTCGATTTCTGGAATACATAAATTAAATTTATATTCGCTTTGAGACAATTATGCATAATGTGAACTTAACGGATCGGATAAGAGTAAAACACGAAAGTTACAGCAAATGTATTAATTTCGACTGTCCAGTCAAGGTGCAACTTTTGTTTTGTACCTAACTTTGGGTTGTTATATTAAAATGCACGATTCAACGCATTGGGTGAATACTATTGCGTTATGAACTTGGTTGATGGATGAAAATGAAGAACGTAATACGTTATATGACTACGATTTATTTAGTTAAAACATATGATACAAAAAAATGCGCTACCGGCGACCGTTCAAGCGAATTTTTCTAATTTGAATGAAACTGTGGTGGGGCGCTCATTGGACGCCCGTCTCCTGCGGCGGCGATGCCTCACTCTTCGGTGGCCTGGTGACGTTGATGCTGAATTCTTGACATTGGAACATCGAGTATATAACCAGAAATAGAGAAGAAATGTCATTTAATTTGTTTGAAAACTATTCTGCTATATCATTACTGTGACAACTGCGCTCCGATTGGCTAGCCCGAGTTCGAAACAATTGACGGGTGTCGTCAATGGGTATCGTCAACTGTTTCACTTCAAATCGACCAGTTAACTTAAGCTTTGCTTGGACGAATAATGGACGAAAATTGCAAAATTACATATTTAATATTTAATTACCGATGAAATGTGATTCCGTTTGTTTTGTAATTAAATGTTTTGCTGTTCTTCTCACACTACCGTATAGAACAGCACGGCATTGTTAGAGATATTATCTTTATTACAATAAATACAGAATATTTTTTTGGAATATACGGAGACGTACACACAGGTCAGTAGTTGGCTTGTCTATATTTCAGTGCAAACGAGAGTTGATATTTATAAGAGCTGTATCGCTAATGTGTTACGAGGAATATATGGCCCTTATTTCGTCTCTATTTCTGGTTATATACTCGATGCATTGGGATTACTACTCAAAAGATTAGGTACCCGCTACACGTCTACATATTTAAGAGTAAATACTCGTATTAAAGATAGGCACTTTGTCTTTTTATAGAGCGCACTCCAGTCCTTTCCCTGGGACTAACAGCCGATTCCCAGAAGATGGTCGTAGGATCGGCGGACTGCTCTGTAAAAGTTTATGACATGGAAACGCAAGAGGTACTTTTCATATTAAATTCATTGGAAGAATCGCCAAACTACCTTTGACCGCAGAATTTGTGGTGCTCGATGGTCTATGTATAACATGTTTGTCCGGTGACAAGGGTTATCATTGAACTAGCGGGTTGTTACAACCTCATTCGCTTCTGGGCAAATTCTTCGAAGTTCATATAAATGCCATGAACCAATTTCCACATTTAGTAAACAACATAAAGTGCTTAACAAGAATAACGAGAGATTTAATATAATTGTCCAAAAACTATTGACAAATTAATCAAATAATAAGATCACTCGACACGACGTGATGTATCAAAGTGAATTTGGTCATTTTTCGCCTTATTACGTCTATGGTTGTATAGAAGAAAATTCAAAAGTTACCTTTGATTCGTCGATTGAATTCATCATATAGTTCTTAGGTTTTCGCGATTGTTACACATAGGAAATGAAACAATTTTTTCCGGATTTAAATTGCGTATATTTGTTTTTTCAAACAAACCAACGTGTCGGGCCCTTTACTTGACGGGCCAGTCAACCGCGCTGGCTTGGTTGTGAAGGGTAATTGGTGCTGCTGAAATTACAGGTACATGAGACTTGTCTACTTATGTCTCAGAGTAACGGACGCAATAGCATTGCCCCTTAGATCTTTATGATTTATAGTACTGAGTGGTACTGCAACTGTTATGGACAGGCTTGCCACTTTTTTTTTATATATAATAGATACACGCTTGACCACAATCACTCACCACCAGGTGGGCGACTCGTTCGTCCCGTCACTTGATCACATAAAAAACACTAACATATCAAATTGTTGTATTTAGAAGCCATCAACTGTTATGAGGTTATGATGGTTACGACATGTTTATAACAATTAAGTCATCGGCAAAGGTATGAAAATATATTTATTTGGGATTATTATGGCACCACTTTATTGCAATATGGTGTCATCGTAACGACGTCATTTTAGGCTATTAAAAATTGACTTTGACGATCCCCACGTATTGTTAAAAATTGTAGTATCGATTGGATGCTAAAAGTGGAAGATGTAGAGACTAATGTGGGTACTCTACATCTCATAGTTTTGCACTCATAGACATTTTAGTAAGTTTACACAATGTTTTACGTATTTAAAAATTATACAGAGAATTTCAAAATTTTATTCTCATTAAATTTTTAATTACCTAAGTACTTCTTATAGTCTTATATTAATTTCTAGCTAAAGACGTAATACCAAAGTCGACAGGTGTTACAATTTGCTGTTATTAGCTTCTTAGCATTTATATCTTTACTGAGGATACATAACATTGCTTTTCGCATATATGAATTGTCTTATAGTTTTAAATAAATTCTATGTTATTATTATTTTGCGCTTTACAATTATCATAAAAAACCCAAAATGAGTAAGATGATGTATTTTATATTCAACACAGTTTGTCGATACACATCGTACTCTTTTTCTTTAGGGTTCATAAATTCCAGTTTTCCTGTTTTTTTGTCTCAAGAAATTTCGAAACCTGTGTGCCTCGGGTGAGCATGTACAGTACTCTCCCTATTTTCCAGATAGGTAACGGAGCTGTAGGCACGCTCACTAATATAAGTAAAATAAAATAGCAGTTAAAAATAATTACAACAAAGTTTGAATCAACCCACCACGCTTAAAGTGTTTTCGTAATACGTAATATCCCGCAAAATGTTACGGCCTAATCCCATTTTATTGCTTTAGTAATAAATTTGTACTCAGCCTTTATGAGACCCTTCTAAGTCCTTGGGCCCCCAAAAAGTAGGTCAATAGTCAAGAATCTACCCGTAGACCGTCAGTAAAATTCACGTTTTTTTTTGTAGACGAGAAATAAGTAATTATGAGAAGAAATTTATTTATTAAAAAAATATATACGCGATTTATATCCGAGGTAAGTTGACACACCTTAGTATTTAATAAGTAATAGTGATTTGATCTCACTAAAAAACTTCCACATCATAGTACAAACTTATTAGCTATCATCTTCAAAATGTCCCTGCTGTTCCTTTACATATCCGTCCAATAATTAATTAGAGAAATTAGCGAGAGTGAAGAGGCAAGTTGGTAAGCAGGGCGGGCTGGTGGTAATGTTGGAACTTACCATGACCAAATAGAAGACGTCACAAAGCAAGGCTCTGTCAATAGTATATTCAGCATGACGTATGAAGCACAGACGCGTGTTGATGAGGCGAAACATGTGTGTCAGGTTCATAGAAAGTGGAAGGCTGTTGTTTCTGCCAACCCCAAAGAGGGAAAAAGAACCCCAAAGAGGCGTAAAGTATATGAAATTGACAAAAAATCAAACGATCCGTCCAATTGTCAATGAGTAGCTCCGGTTTATAGAACAAATCGCGATAATTCCTGATCACAGGATATCAGTTTAGGACAATTATACGATTTAGATGTTTATTTTTTTGAACGATTTCAGAAAAAAGAGGAGGTTCCCAATGCGACTGTATGTATTTTTTTTTGTATGTATGTTACGCGATAGCTCGGTAACGACTTGTGAACCGATTTTGATGATTCTTTTTTGTTGGTACCTCAATAGCGGTCCAATTTAAATTTGAAGAAACTATTCCACCTCTAAGGATTGCAAACCAGGACGAATGAATTTTGAGGTCGGTTTTTTAGTACTCTGTACTGAGATTATATTAGTCTACAATTATTTACCTTATATTCAGATTTTTACTAAGACAGATTTCTATACAGTCAGATTGTTATTTCGTCAGATTGATACAGTTAACTGGATCATAAATCCTCGACTTAAAAAGAAAAGCGGTATTTAGTGTGCCTGTAATATGTAAATAGGCTTACGCTATCAAAACGGGAAAACATATCAATGCTACTTTCTAGTAATAATAGTTAGGTGAATATATATTACCAACTACATTTATTTCAAATAATTTGAAAAATGTTTCTACGTGATAATATTCTGAAGATCATTTTTAATAGTATCATTCTATCTAAACAACCCTAGGAGTTGGATAAAAATGAGAACGAAATTTGTAAGAATTGTGTTCAATGTTAAACCAAGAGAAAAGCTTTGGTAGTAACAGTAACTCTTTGATTGCCTCTTTCGTTTTGAGTTTCAATAAGGGATATATATGTACTGTATAGGGCGTCACAGAAAGGCCCTCTAATATTTGGCGACTTCAAAGTGTTCATAACGTTGAATATCTTGAACTAGAAACGAAAAAAATGTTTCTGTTTTCCTTGTAAATCTGACGTAGCTACGACACATAACTTTTGTCCAGTGTTATGGGTACTTCCGTCTTCCAAATGTGTTTATTGACGTTTTCATCCACCCATTCTTGATTACAAATCCTAATATTTTATCACAAGTTAAACCACGAATGTCACACTTTCTAGCGAGTACCTATATGTACGAGTATATGCTTCGATCGTCATCATACCCGTAATTTTAATCCTTTAAGCAAGCAAGGCAAGTGCTTTGTTACGTTCACACGAATTCATCGAACCCTTGATATCGACCCTTCCTTATTTACAGCCAGAGGTGATTTTCAAAGTGCACAAGCTTCGCTTACAATTCATTCCGAAGAAACTACAACGTGTCCATAGCTCGCAAGTGGTTGCTGTACGATGTCATGATCAGAAACCAAACGTGTTTGCCACCGGTAGTTGGGACAAAACTTTGAGGGTATGCATAATGACATACTTTCCACAAAAGTGTTTACCACGTTTTCGTTAATGGTATTGGTAGGTTGTACGCAAATTCAATGGTTTTTTATATTGGCCTTTTAGCCAAACTCGTTTTAAACGCTAGAGAGAATTGTAGGTGCTACTACATTTACCAGAAATGCACTATTTTTTAAGCACACTTAAACATTTGCTTTGTTAAATAGAAACTCTTCAGTGCACGAATGCAAGTTAGTAAAAAAAGAACGTAATATAACCGCACAGCGTAGCTCTAAACAAACTAACAAAGCTTCTAAAATAAGCCAGTAAAAGAAGAACAAAACATTTAACGTTCCAGCGCCAGAGTCGAGTTCACAGCACAAGTGTATAAAGTTCTGTGGCCATCATGCCTATATTGTGGGGAAGTACAACTAATGTGTGGTTTTGCCTCGTTTGCTGATGATGCTGTTGCGATGCAGTCGCTAATCGTCGACCTTTACACACGCCCGCGAGATTATGCAAGCGTGCAACTGCACCGATATAAATACACTATTGCATCGCTACACTTGGGATTTATAGGTGATTGTGAATGTAATCGTGTGTTTGTATCGATTTAAACGTGTGTTGGTATCGATGCAGTTGCGCGTTTGCATCGATGTAATCTCAAGTTCAGCGATACTTCACTCTACGACCACTCTAAGGTGTGATACTTTTAAAACAAAAGAATTTAAAAAAACATTAAAAAACCCTGTTGGACGGTAAACTAATCAAAATAAGTACAGGTGAATTAACAGGAGTTGACATGAACAACACACCTATAGTGTGTGTTACTTAATTAATCTGCAGCGCCATATCGTAACATAGTGTAGCTGGAAGTCACTCGCAATTTCATGTCTATATACATTAGTCAGATTAAGTAAAAAAAGGACAGCTAATAATTGTTTTGTTCACATAACGTAAGTTTTACATTTTTATTCTCTCGGAATTTAACAGATGGCGCTCACTTTATTTGAATAGTGACATTACCATCGAAAAACTTAGGCACCCTAGGCATTTGGTATAATGTAAATATGGAGAGGAAATACAGTCTTGTCGAAAGTCCATGATTAGCCGTATGGATTTGATGCTCAAGGCAGTCCCCGATTGGTGCGATGCCGATCTTGTCAAATTTAACGCTACCAAAACCCAGCGTGTCTATTCTCTACAAAACGGAGTCCCTTTGAGCTGACTCCGACTTTTCGTTATATATCCATACCGATACCCAACTGCCTCCAGCTACTTGGAATGGACCTGTCATCTAATTTAAACTTCGGCAGATACATTGAATCAATGGCCAAAAATGCAGCAAGGAAGCTTGGCATCCTTTCTAGGGTGAGGCGTTACTTTACACCGGGACAGTTGCTTCAGCTGTACCAAACACAAGTCAATTCACTTGACAACCGTGCCAAGAGGCTTATAGGTAACTCGGAATTAGTGGAGGCGAAGCTGCAGAGCCTTGAACACTGCCGTAAAGTTGCCTGCTTATCAGTATTTTATAAGATATATCACGGAGAGTGTGCGATTGAATTACACGATTTAATTCCGCCTTCCCCTTTTCATCACCGGGGGACTAGGCGTAAGCTTGGGTTCCACCCCTATATTGTGGATATTCCAAAGATTCGCATGAAGCGTTATGCTTCCACATTTATGTGGCGAACGGCTATGCAGTGGAATTCCCTGCCTGCAGACTTGTTCCCTGAACGTTATAACTTGGGCCTTTTCATGGCGAGAGTGAATAGGCATTATTTAGGTGTGTATGATCCATCGTCGACCTCATCGTCAATTTCCATCAGGTGAGGTGAAGGTCAAATGCGCACTTATATTTTATTAAAAAAAAATCCGTACGGAAAATCCTAAAATGTATAAAAATTACTCGTTTTCGCTCAAATAGGCGGTTGACACGGTTTTACCACTCCTCTGGTGACGATTGACTATTAGCATGGCTCTTAACTAAGAAAAGGTATTTCCTATACTTTAAACCAACTTCAAAAAAGGAGGATTTTCTCAATTCAGTTGTATGTTTTTTTGTATGTATGTTACGCGATAACTCCGGCATTTATGAACCTCGGTACCTTGGTAGTAGTCCAACTGTTTCACCTTTAAGGGTGGCAAACTAGGGGATGAATGACTTTTGAGGTCGGTTTTTTAGTAGGTATTCTATACTGAGATTATTCTATACGATATATTTATATTTAAGAGTATTTACATATACTTACCAGGCGACGTAACGTTATATCGTACATGCGCCTCGAGTTTCTCCTCAGTCTCCCGTACATAAACTCGTTAATTGATATATTATAAATTTACTATTTAAACGATAATTATGAACTGTTAAAAAAATATCTGGACCAAAATGTGCCCCTATAGACTTTGTAGTTACTTGTCTAAATTTCAGTAATAGATTATTTAAGTTGTAACAACCCATGAAAAAACTTGATGCAAGTCGCTAACACAGTGTAAACACAACCTGAATAGTACACGGAGGGAATGACCTCTTGAAAAGCGTCTCTCTCTGTCGAGATTAAATCACTTCGCTCATCCAGCGGTTTTATGTTAAAATTATTTATCAAAAATCTCTTTATACCGTATTTTCAAAGAATTAAGGGACATAAATGCTTATATTAAATGATATAAGAGAAAAGTGTACCTGCGTAGTCGGTTTGCTTTCGTTTATTTTATTTTATTTTATACAAAATGCAAACTATTTATTGGATCATTTATTGCACAAAACACATACAATTCACATTTTATCAAAATATAAATACAAAAGGTTCTGTTTATTTCTTAAAGAACTGTCTTCCTGGAGACCTAAGTACAGGACTTCTTCTTCTTCTTCTTGAGGTGCCTCTTCAATCCTGAAGGTTGGCCGTTAGCTTCTTGTATTCGTCTCGATTAGCAGCCAACCGGAACAGCTGTTCGACCGAGGTAATGCCGGTCCACTCCCGGATGTTTCGCAGCCACGATTTTTTCCTACGGCCTGCGCGTCTCTTTCCCTGCACTTTACCCATCATTATTAATTGCAGCAGCCTATATCTATCGTGCCTGAGCAGGTGCCCGAGATATTCTATCTTACGGCTTTTGATAGATGGGATCAGTTTCGGGGTCATATGTACTCGCTGAAGCACTGTTTCATTTCGGACCTTCTGTGTCCAGCTAATGCGCAACATGCGACGATAACACCACATCTCAAATGCCTGTAAACGCTTTGTAGTGCCCTCTTTTAATGTCCACGTTTCGCATCCGTACAAGACGATAGGCCAGATGTAACATAAAAGCAGCCTGACTCGGAGCTTTATGTTGAGTTGACGACAGCACAGTACCTTCCTCATTTTATTGAAAGAGGCTCGAGCAATTTCTATCCGGGTCTTGATTGCCTGATCGGATTCCCATGCTTCATTTACCCAAGCCCCCAAATACTTATACTGTCGTACCCGCTCTAGTTGTTTCCCAGCCACTGATATGTTTGGGTTCAAATCCGGATTTCTCGAGATCACCATGAACTTTGTCTTGTTTATGTTCATCGATAAGCCGGCTTTCTCGCTGCACTCATTAACCCTATTTACAATTGCTTGCAGGTCCGTCTCTGATGCAGCAATAAGAACAGTGTCGTCTGCATAGCGCAAGTTGTTAACGACTTTGCCGTTGATCTTAATTCCCGCTTCAAGGTGTTCGAGGGCCTCTGAAATCACAGCCTCCGAGTAAATATTAAAAAGCAGCGGTGATAGGATACAGCCTTGCCGGACGCCGCGACATATCTCAACTTGGTCGGTCTCCTCGTTATCAACTCTTATTGTGGCCACCTGCTTTTCATATAAGTTGCGAATAATCCGGATATCTCTACCATCAAGACCAATGTCACACAGAAGGTTCACAAGTTGTTGATGTTTAACTCGGTCGAATGCTTTCTCGTAATCGACAAAGCACAAAAAGACATCCGTTTGCATGTCTCTACATTTCTGTACGAGGACATTGAGAGCGAAAAGAGCCTCCCGAGTGCCGACACCAGAACGAAATCCGAATTGGCTATCTCCCAGTTGTTCGTCACATTTCGGCCTTATCCTATTCTGTATGATGTTCAAGAATAGTTTTAGGACATGGCTCATCAGACTAATCATACGATATTCTCCACATTTTTTGGCGTTTTGCTTCTTGGGTATCGTGATGAATGTCGATTTTAGCCAATCACTAGGGAGATTGCCAGTTTCATAGATGTTATTGAAGAACTGCGTGAGAACATCCAGCTGGCACTCTTCCAGCAGCTTTAGCACATCAACCGGTATATTATCAGGACCCGGGGACTTGTTCGTTTTAGCAGTCTTCAAGGCTCGCAGAACCTCAGATTTTAATATAACTGGACCAGTATCATCGATGATCGTTGAGATTTTCCTTGACGAATCTGCAAACATCTCCGCAACATAATCACACCACATGTTCTTCCTGCTTCCGGTGTCTAGAATGAGATTCCCACCTGCATCAGTCAGGGTACTCGTGGATTTCTTTTTATGTCCAACCATTTCCTTGATATGCTTATGTGCATTGAAGTCGTCGTGTTTCCAAAGGAGATCCTCCAAGTGTGCACACTTATTTGTGTAGTATTCGTTTTTGGCCTTCAAAATCTCCCTTCGAATGGTGTCATCGACTTGCTTGTATCGGTCTGGATTTGTGCTCTTAAACATTCTCCGGTCCTCCATCAGCTGCAAAATAGAGTCCGTCATCCAATCCTGTTTCCTGGTCAGACATGGAGGCCGAAGATATTGGTGGCATATATCATTCACTGTTCGCTTCAGACCAGTCCACGTATCGGTGTCAGAAGAAACGGTTTCAGTGCGATGGTATGTGGCCCATTGATTTATAGCAGTGTGGGCTTTTGCTCGTATGTCGGGCTCTACAAGTCTCCGCACGTTCGGTCTTCCATCCATTCTCTTTAACTGTAACCTCTTCAGCTTGCACACCACGTCTGCTACCACTGGGTTATGGTCTGATCCGATATCTGCACCGGGGTATGTTTTCACCTTCTTAACACAGTTACGATACCTTCTGTTGATCATAATATAGTCGATCTGATTCCTGACTATGTGGTCCACCGTGTGCATTGGTGATGTCCATGTGTACAATCGACGCGGTGGCAGCTCGAACAGAGTGTTCGTCACAATAAGGTCATTGTCCTGGCAAAATTCAACAAGCGTATCGCCTCTGTCGTTTCTGGTTCCAAGGCCATAAGCACCAGTCACTCCAGGAGTGACGGTTGACCCCACCTTCGCATTCATGTCAACCAATAAGTATAACCAATTCGTGACTCTTGGTGGTCTTCAATAAGGTATCAATGTCTTCATATAGGTCTTCTATTTGGCTTAATGGTTTGTCTCCTGTAGGCGCATAAATTTGCATGATACTGATATCAAATGGTTTGGCGTGCAATTTTATCAGCATGGCTCGGTTTGAGAGGGGTACGAAATTGGTAACCGCTTTAGATGTTTCTCTTGTCAGAAGAATTCCCACGCCATAACGTTCTGATGGTTGGTCTCCTCCCGAATAGTACAGGACATAGTCATCGGAAGTTAAGCGTTTACCTTGACCTGGCCATTTGGTATCACTTATGCCAAGAATGTCCACCTGTAACCGTTTTATTTCTTTCACAACATTAGGGAGCTTTCCGTCTTGTTTTAAACTTCTCGCGTTCCAAGTTCCTATTCTAAGGGTTTTCTAAGTACAGGACACAATAACTAAAATAAACAAAAATTTATATAACTCAAAAACAATATCATATCAATATCATCTATCATCATCATAGACATTATTTAACTATCGAATGTAGGTAACATTATTTTCAGTAACATTGGATTGGTTTGGTTTCAGATATGGGACACCAGATGTAAAATTGGCTGCATGATGACATTCGAAGGTGTTAACGTATGTCATGACAGTATTGATTTGAATGTAAGCAATTTAAAGATTCATTTATTTGTGTCGTTTAATAAGATGTCTTCAAAAGGTACAATTTTCTAGGCGAATATCTACAGATTAAGAGCACGTGCCATTTATGATTGAATTAAAATCTCTCAAATTGAATAAAAATCTTAAAATCTATTGAATTTGTGATAAGAACGGAATAAGAATGACGGCCTGCGTGGTCGAGTGGCTTGCACACCAGTTTTCATGGTGTTACCATCTCTGAGGTCCCGGGTTCAATCTCCAGCCGGGTCAGTGTAGAAACTAACTTTTGTATATTGTCTCCGGTCTAGGTGTTTGTGGTACCATCGTTGTTTCCTATTTCCGTAACACAAATGCTTTAGCTACTTACTTTGGAATCAGAGCAACGTATGTGACGTTGTCTAATATAAAAAAAAAAGTTCGAAATGTCAAGTTTTATGTGCCCTTGTCTGTACCATCCTCTTCTATCTTTACTATTTATTATGCGTGGTTGCGGAAAAACGTCGACCTGTCTTGCCAGTAAGTTGTAGACCGTTGAATATATCTCATCAATAATAATTGAACTAGATTATATGTTGGGTTAGATTGATTTGCCGCGGTCTACTTCCTAATTAATACATTTCTTCATCAACTAAGTGACTAACTTAAAATTTACTGGCACGAGATCAAAAATGCCCGACGACGTGGTTTTCCCATCCCTAACCAATGCATCTGAGTGATTACAGTCTAGTAGCATAGTATAATAGGACTAATATGGTAACTCCATACAAATGTAGTATGTATGTATACGGCTTGTATGTATGTGCGCCGTGTACTGACACACACATTCGCATAATCTCGCAATGCACTCACGTTGTAGCGCTGCTCGTCTCACGTATTGCACCTTTCATAATTATATGCGAATGGGCACACATTCTCATATAATTATGAAAGGTGCGTCCGTACACGATGCGCGGCGGGCGTGCACACATACAACTACAGCGATGCTACACTTCTTTGGAGTTACCATACCTACTTATTATATTATGCTAGTAGCGAAAGTAAAGAGGTAGCAAAACTTTTCGCCAAACAATTCTCTTGTGCCTTCGGCGATACCAACATATATGCGGGATACTTTCTAACAACACACACCTTCTTTTGAGCAAAATACATTTTACGGAGAAACACGTAACGATGGAACTAATTAGTACTGGAACTAATTAATATCTTCCAAATTCAGAAGGATCCTATATCTTGTTGTTCACTTGTTAGCCTCGTTGTACCTCACTAAGTTCCAAGGCAGCCGATACTTTGAATATTCGTTCCGCCAACTTGTTCTATAAAATAACTTGTAAAGCACCAATAGCAAGTAGTTCTTTTTGCACTATTATTCTTAGAGTACATTGCCCTTTATAAACGGTGTGCTAAGACGTAGATATCCGACAGAGAGATATCCACCCTGCAGAGACCCTCTCTGACGCTTTTGTCGTAAAATACTAGTAATGGAATAATCTCGCTTGGATCCTTAATGTTCGTGCTAACAGAAATATTTTATTTTTATGTGTAATGATTTATACTGTCGAATATAATTAATTATTTACTTATGTGTTAATCAATTTCGTATTCGTGTATCTTTTTCATTAAAATTGTAAAGACAAAAATAAAGTATTTGTAATTAATTGCCGTGATACTCTGATGAGTTGACCTCTCAAGATCAGGCCGTGTGATGAAATGCGGGCTCGCAACTCTGTGTTCTCACAATTTAAATGCGAAATTCAATTTGAAATTTACCATGAGCTTTTCAGTGATGGAAAACATCGTGATGAAACCTGCACGTTGAAGAGGTTCGCAACTCTCAGAAAATATGAAGTCCCCAACCCGTATTGGGCCAGGCGTGGCGGACTATGACCAAAACCCGTGACCAGTAGTGGGATGTATAAATGGGTTGATGACGATGATGATAATTAATTATTAGCAAGCTTTTACAATTTCAATTTTTTGTTGGTTCAGTGATGAACTTATCTGCATTTAGGGTACTTACATATAAGGGCTGCAACATGTAGTCTGCGTAATCATAATTATGTATATGCAATCCTGTTGGAATACCAACAAATAAATAAAAAAATATAGCCATTTTTGTTACAGCAACTTTATTGGCGCATCTACTGTTTCTAAGCGAGTATCTCAAACTTCTCGATCAAAGTATTACAAGGCAGTTTTTAATTAAAAACTACCCTTTGACGTCCATTCCTCGTTATGAAGTTTCTTCATAGTTCGCCTTTGAGCATTATTTTTAGCACCTTTCATTTAGAGTTTGTAAAGCGTTTCAAACGTGTGTCGCGTGTGTAATTTAATTAAAAGTTCTTTACTGTCCTAAGCTATAGTTGTTATACGTATCTTGTCCATCAGATAGGGCTATTGTTGTTTAAATTACCTACATACAACATTTATGTTCACATAAATATGAAGTGTCGTAGGTAAATCAGTCAACAATATAGATTAAATTATAGATAAGTGTAATAAAAAAAAAACAGAAAGTCTATACTGCTCGCAAAGGCATATCACATGGGGGTATTCACGGAAATCTGCTACATTGGCTTGCTTCATACCTTCTTATTCGTTCCCAACTCGTGGCGTTAAGTGGTTGTGATTCTTTCCCGTTTATCTCGAGTTCAAGGGTTACGCAAGGTTCAAATTTGGTGCCGCTTTTATTCCTGATTTTTATCAATGATCTCAATACCATCCAGTGTGAATGTCTTACATCCGCCGACGACATTAAGATTTATAACCAAGTTGTAGGAATTGATGATTGCGTGGCTCTACAAAAAAATTTAGACATTGGCGGCCCATATCGTCAATCATATGTCACTCAATGTTGGTAAGTGTCAGGTGATACCTTTTAGGAAAAATTCGAACCCCTTGTGTTTCAACTATAACATACACGGGTCTACTCTTACACGAGTCCAAACTAATCGTGACTTAGAAGTATATTTCGACTCTTTTCTAACATTTCTCTCACATTACGACCATGTTTGCAGTAAAGCAAATAAAATGCTGTTCTTTGTACTTCGATACGCCAAACCATTTAAAAATATAAAATCGTGGATCATCTTGTACGAAGCCCTAGTCACAAGTGTCCTTGAAAATTGCTCATCAGTTTGGTCTCCTGTATATATTCAATTCAATTCTTTATTGCATTTACCCTAATGTTACATAGATGGAAAAGGCTTATAGCTAAATTAACACTGCAAGTTATAGAGAGAGAGAGGAGGATTTGCTCTTTACAATATTATTTTTCTTTGCTTTTTGTAATGATTACATAAGTTAATATTTGTACCATTGCAAATTAAAGAAAGCATAATCTTGATTAAGATTAAGATTGATCAAATCAGCATTAATTATGTTTTTTTGGTTATTTTTATTTATTCATTATTATTTAGAAATTAGAAATTATTGTTTATTAAATAAAGTCAAATATAATTTTATCATCATTTGAATATAATTTTATTTTATTTCCATTTAATTGTAATATATATCAATAATATAATTTTATCTATATATTTGAGTTATTATTATTATGTATTTGTATTAACTGTACTTTTAGTTGTTTCGAAATATTCTTACACGGTGTAACATTTTTTTCCTGTTAATAAATCTTTTGGTGCAGCATTTTTCATTGGTTTCTTCCTTGAAAGAGTTGGGCAGTTTGGAAAAGCAGTGGATTTTTTGTCATGTCTTTGTTTTCAAGATGATATTATCAGCTAAACAAAGGAACATGAAGTCACCATGTCTCAGTTCACGGCGTTTCATATTTCAGAGAGACCACTGCATTGCTGGAAGCTGGAGCCCAACCGAAGGCCTGTCGGTATTTGATATCGTGGCTCGCAGGAAACTCCACGTAGTCCGTGTCCAGAACCGTCGCCCTGACGTCGATGGGGAATATGTATACGCTTGCCGATATTGGAGATCTCAAGTATGTATTGCACTGTTACTAGCACTTCAGTGTTTAAAAGTATTATCCAGAAATTAACTTAATTTAAATTAAAACTATTTTGGTTCACAAAACCCTTTGACGACTCGTGAAGCTCGACACCTAGACGAGCGCTCAATATGTATCATGATTTTAAGCCGAGCACATACAATACAGATATACAGGGTGTTTGCGGATATGTTATCCCAACCCATTGTTTCTAAGTCAGTAAATGATTATAATTTTATTAATGTAGTGGTTTTTGAAATAATTACAGTAAAGCGTTTTGTTAGTAAATAGTTTTATTATTATTATGTATCCCAAATAAATACTGACATTAGAGACACCTTATATTTTGCATTATTTCAAACTTTTACGAGTTTCATACATTATTTGATTTTAACGTCTATGATCTCGAAGGGTCTCCCTTCGTACTTCCACCTGGAATGGACGTTGCAACACGTTTAAAACGTCGAAGTATATAATGTATTTTTATATACAATTAAGTCCCAATTTTAAAACTTTACATTTTATGTTAAAACCTTTTTCATAATAAACTGATTAGGCGACTAGGAAATTGTCAAAAGTCGCAGTACTGACGGCCGTTTTCTCATGCTCCTGCTGGTAGCAGTTTGAGGACTAATATATCCTTATGCTCCTACTCGTGACGTCGTATCTAATAAGTACACTGAACTAGAATAAAAAAGAAATCAAAATAAAATTATACTTATTTGTATCGAGTTCTTAGGTTTTCGCGATTGTTACACATAGGAAATGAAACTATTTTTCCGGATTTAAATCGCGTATATTTGTTTTTTCAAACAAACCGACGGTTCGGGCTCTTTACAGGTCCCATGGTCACGGTTGACTGAGGTGGTACAGTCTTCCAGTTATGTCTAGTAGTGATGCAAACCACCCAATTTTTTTCACTATAGTTACAATAGTTATTAATTAAATACCTTATTTTTAATTTTACAAAGAAAACGTTCTAATTTACGTTATATTAAGTTTTGCAAATTATTTTATTGAATGAATTTTTATTAAGTTCAGTTTATTATTAATTAATAATAGACATTAGAATAAACTAAAACATATTAATTAGTACTGCAGTCTTATGAGTTTGTCCTTATTTATTATTTATTATTTATAGTCAGCATGTCATGGATAAACCTATACATTCAATGAAGTTTGACAAACCCCAGGTCCTTGCAAAAGAAGTCCGTTATCTACCCAGGATGCTGAGAGAGGCCATTGAAATTAAAAAAACATCCTAATTTCAACAGGGAAGATGGTTTCTCAGTACCACCAGTTTGGGATCCAATATTTCCTCTAATGAAATCTATTGAAAAATCCCAAACAGACATAAGACTGCAGTACTATACTACAAATTTTCTAGGATGATCCCTGTGACACTTCACAAA